GAGAGAGAGAGAGAGAGAGAGAGAGAGAGAGAGAGAGAGAGAGAGATTTGTTTTGATTTTTTAGAAATCTTTATTTTCTTAAAACATGAAAACATTGCCAAGGCAATAAATTCGACCCAAATCAACAAAACAAAACATGCTCATGTTCAGGCTCTTTAGACTCTGTTTCACTGAATGATGGTCCTGAGACCCCATTCAGCTCTACAATAAATCCTTGATCTGGAAATAGATCTGTAGAATCAGGAGCTTCCTCTCCTCTGTCGTCCTTCAGCATCTCGACCTCGTCCTCCGTCAGTCTCTCCAACCTGCTCAGGATCCTCCTGCTCTGCCGGATGGAATCCAGCCCGAGAAGAGAGTCCACTGCAGGTGCATTTCTCAGTCCAGGAACATCTACCTCCACCAGTGTCCTCAGGGTGGTGGTCCCAGAGGACCACAGCATGTTGTTCAGACCTGGAGTCGTGCTGTCCTGGATGTCCATCTTGGCTCCGTTCACCAGCGGTTCCTGAAGCAGCCAGTGTGGGCATGTGGGCTCCGGTCTCTTATTTTCCATTCGCTCCATCATTGTTCAGCTCTTTCTTTAAAATCTCAACAATTTTTTTTCAGTCTGAAGCCTTCTTGCTCTGTGAGACCTCCTCTGTCTTTACTCCTCATGTGTGCTCTGACAGAGTTTAAGAGCTTCTCTTTGTCAGAGATGTAGTCCTCCACTTTAGCTCCACTTACATTCTTACTCTTCATCAGATAGTCCTGTATCTCCTCCACACTGTAGCCTTCAGAGCTCTTACAGCTGCCAGCCCTGTATTCAGAGAGCTCACTGTCAGCAGCAGCGTCCTTCTCCAGACTGGACTCACACCCAGCTGCTCCTATACTTTCTGTCGTTGCCACTTTCTTGGCCTGTGAGTTTCCACTATTCCCTCTCTGTTTCCTCTTCAGCTGAGGGGCTTTGTGTTGCTCCTCGTCTTCCTCCATGTCTACCTCACTGCCTGACTCCACCTGTCCTCCAGTTCTCTCTCTCACTTGTCTCCTCTTCCCTCACCTCCTGGGCCCCACTTGTCTCCTCCACCATCACCTCATGTGCCCCACCCGTCTCCTCCACCCTCGCCTCTTGGGCCACACTTGTCTCCTCCACCCTCACCTCTTGGGCCACACTTGTCTCCTCCACCCTCACCTCTTGGGCCACACTTGTCTCCTCCACCCTCGCCTCCTGAGCTCCACTTGTTCCCTCCTGTCTGTCCTGCTTGTCCCCTCTGCCCTCCTCAGTACCTCTCTGGTTCTGGTCTTCATGAGAACCGTTTTTCCCAGGACAAGCTCTGCTCTGATGTCCTTCTTTCCCACAGCTGTAACATTTAAAAATTACATAATCAAAGTCCTCTACAGTGATTCTGAACACGAGGTTGACCTCCCTGCTCCTGTCGTTAGGGATCATTAGCACATGTCTCCTGTGAGACACCACGTGTTTTAACAGCGGAGATTTAAACCCAGAGGACACTCCTAACCGGAGACACCACCTTCCCGTGTTTAGACAGCTCTCTGATTATTGTGTCGTTTCTAATAAACGGAGGAACGTTGGACACAGTAACTTTTACTGCCGGTGAGCTGAGAGGGTAAACGGGCAGGAAGTGTTCACCCACCTCGATCCCGTTCTCCAACACCACTTCCGCAGCTTCTAAACTATCTAAAAATATGACCACAGCGTTGTTCATCCGCGCTGCGGACTTCAGCTCCCCCACTGCCAGGGTGATTCCTTCCACTGAACACCCGAACAGCGGTCAGATCCGTCAGGCCCATGGTGGTGTTTAGCAGCCGACAGCTCACGCTGATCAGCTACAAACACCCACAAACAAAGACCCTAAAACCCCCTAAATGTGCACACAAACCCGTGAACCCTACACACTACACTATCATACCCAACATTACCCAGTGAAGAAAAATGTCGAAAAATCGCTAATATCGCTCTCAAAACCACGCTCCTTCAGCTCCGTGCTCCTTCGAGAGAGAGAGAGAGAGAGAGAGAACATTTTGAGTGTCATTTTCGTTAATTTATTAACCCCTGCAGGACTTTAACAGCTCTTATGTGTTTCAGCAAGATTTCTGCTCAATTTTTAAAACTGAAATCCCACATATGTGTTCTCTGAGTTGTCGAGAATAAAAATGTGATATTTTGAGAAGAACTTTACTATATTTCAAGAAAAAATGCACCGGTCTATAAAACCGACTCTAAACACAAAACTCTTCTGATCAGGTATTCATCTCACCATCATGTATCCTTTAGTCCACACAAATGATAACTTCACCACCCCTGATAAAGTTCAGTAGATCCACCTCATCACAAACATTCAAACCAGCAGAGGTATTTGTGTTTGTGCTAGTGAGCCTTAACTATTCCATTAACACCTTTCACTTGTCAAATAAGCTGACTCAGATCTCATCATCCATCACATTCCTCACCGCAGCCGATGAAATCAGCATCGATGTTATAGAAATCCAAAGATAATGTGAACGAGTTGCTCAAATACTGGTAGGGTTGTCCCAGCTAGTAACAGTAACGAAGGAAGAGCAGGACTTAGACTTACACTGCCCTAACTTAAAAGAGAGACACCCCTGTGCACCAGTGTTAATCTGAGCATACAAGTTGAAATATGTGGAGTCCACTTATGATCAGCCCATGCATGCTTCCAATAAGCCCACAGAATGGTTAACTCTGTTCATCTTTGTGTAGCACTCTGCTCCTCCACCAAAGTACAGTGTGATGGCTGCAATGTGTATTTTACAGAGCTGAGTTTGTATTGATTGATATAGATTGTATGATCTTAACACCAGATGTATGAATGAGCAATGATTTTTAAAAAACATTGTGGCTCTAATCTTCTGTTTTACAAACGGTGTAAATGCAGGCAACATGGGTTCAGCACAGCGGCTTGTTTTCTGTGTTTTGTTGAGTTTGATGTATGCGACTGGTGTTTCCTGCTCAGGAAGCAACACTGGCATCGGCAAGGCCACGGCTCTGGATCTGGCAAAGAGAGGAGCCAGGGTGATCCTAGCCTGCCGCAACAAGTACAAAGCTGAGGCTGCTGCTTTCGACATCCGGAGAGTAAGTACTCTGATAACTGTTGTGTCGGCTCTATAGTCACTGTTCCGTAAGCCCAGAAGAACGTCGAGAACTTGACCATTGACTATTTAGTCCAGATGTACTCAAAATCTGGACGCCTCAATGACAACATGCTAGAAACACCTCCCACTATAACCTAATACAGCACCACAGGCTGCTGGTTCCAATATCATTGTGTAGTGTAGTGTAATATTTGTGTACTGCAGCCTCTTTACCAGCATTAATGTCCTTCAGGAGAGTGGGAACAACCAGGTGGTGTTCACGCAGCTGGATCTTGCGAGTTTCCAGTCTGTTCGCTGCTTTGCTGAAACCTTCCTGAAGACTGAACCCAGACTGGACCTCCTCATCAACAACGCAGGTGAGGATGTTAAAAATAGTGGGATATCCCTCGGTGGTGCATTGATATTTCTTCATGCAAACCAAATCAACACATGTTAAAGGAAATCAGTCACATTTGACTTCACCACTACAGTGCTGTAAAATGGAAGTACACTAAGTGATTGAGCCGGTGTTTCAGGTGTGATGGGTCCAGGGCACACGGAGGATGGTTTCGGCATGGCGTTTGGGGTCAACCACCTGGGTCACTTTCTGCTCACCAACCTTCTCCTGGAGAAGTTGCAGCAGAGCGGTCCCGGTCGCGTGGTCACGGTGGCTGCACTTCTGCACCGCTTTGGCAGCGCTGACTTCCCTCTGCTGGCTTCCAAGAAGGACTCTGTGTCCAGTCAGTCCACCTGGCACAACATTCGAGCCTACTGCAACAGCAAGCTGTTTAATGTGCTCTTCACCAGGGAGCTGGCCAACCGGCTGGAGGGCACCAGTGTCACCTGCTACAGCCTCCACCCAGGTTAGTGCCCTCTGCACATTTTACATAGGAGCGTTGGGGGAAATTAAGGGAGTGTTGTGAGTGTAGTCTTCTGCTTCAGACATCAGTGCCTTTCTTTCCAAAAGGGTTTGAGGTAAAGTCTACGTTTAATGAAAGCTCAAGAGGGAGTTCATTCTCAGCAGAGGAAGATTTTCAATCTGGAGCTCTCTGGAAACTACTCAGACTTGGTTGTCCCAAATACAGCTGCCCTACAACTAAATATGAATATGTCACAACAGTATGTGAGACTGAAAGAACAGACTACCTGTAAGCCAAGCTGTGCTGTACAGTAATCATGGAGCACTTCTACAATCCTCATATGTTTGGATGGTTTCTTCTTCCAGGAGTCATCGACACAGAGCTGTGTCGCAGTATGAGCCTGTGGATGCAGCACCTTGTGACGCCCTTTGCCAAGCTCTTCTTCCTGGATCCTGCGGGGGGGTCCCAGACCACCGTGTACTGTGCCCTGCAGGAGGGCATCGAGCCTCTCAGCGGACGGTACTTCTCTAACTGTGCACTGCAACAGGTGGGAGCCAAAGGACGAGATGATGCCCTGGCAAAGAAGCTGTGGGAAGTGAGCGAGAGGTTAACCGGTTTATCATAACAGACTGAGTCCTGATCCAGTGTGATCGCTCTGTGCCTCAGCAGAGTCCTCATCAGGTCTCCACAGTCAGTGGCTTATTATTGGTCAGTACTTCTCATGGTCTTATACATGTACCATGTGAACACAAAGCAGTGCAGTCTTTTGCTATTTCTACGAACTGTATAACTTTACACTTGTGCCTGTTGTTTATTTAATGGCAGTTATTAACAAAGCCACGTTTTCTTACTCAAATGTTAGTCCAGTGGGAAGAAGATAACTGCTCCATCAGACCACAAAGTGGCTCAGAAAGTTTCATTCCTGTGCTTGAAGTAAATGCTGCTGGCAGCTTGGTGATGCAATGACTTCTAACTGAGGCTATACGTCTTCTCAGTTAATTCAAGGGAATGTGCTATATTTATATTTTGTGGAGCAGCTTCTACTGTGACAAAGGAGGAATGAATACAAAACAGCTAATGCAACTCATCTAATATGTCTCAAAGAAACCTCCTCCCAGCCGGTGGTGATGTAGTGCTCTGAGAGGCTTGTCAAAGACTTCATCCCCTCCCCGCTACTTCAGTCCCTGGACCTGTTGTAGTTTTCATACAGCTCCGACAGATCCACACTGCCCTGGCCCACCTGGTCACCGGGAGAGGGAATTATGTTCAAATGCTGTGTGGGCTACAGCACACTCTGCTACTCTGTGTGGCTGGATCTTCAGCTTCCTGACAGGCAGACCTCAGGCGGTGCGGGTTTGCTTCCACCTGGAGAACTGGTGCCAGGAAAACAACCTCTCTGTGAATATCAGCAGCACCAAGGAGCTGACAGTGGACTTTAGGGAGAAGCAGGAGAGGAACTCGAACAGGGCCCCAGTGGAGAGGGTGGACAGGTGTTTGCATCACAGAGGATTTGTCATGTTCCTCTCACATGAACCCCTTGGTGAAGAAAGCCTGTCAGCACCTCTACCACCTCCGATGCTTTAGGGAATTCAGGCTGCTTCTAAAGTCTTTCTACACCTGCAACATAGAGAACGTCCTGACAGGCGGCATCAACGCCTGGTTCAGGAACAGGACTGAGAGGGGTTACATGGCCCTGCATCTGATGAGGAACTCTCAGTCTACAAGACATTTACAGCAGGAGGTGCAGGATGAGGGCTGAGAGGATCAGAAAAGACCTCCATCATCCCAACAACAGACTTGTCTCTGGTGGCCAAAACAGAGAGGATGAGGGGTTTCTTCACTCAGGCCTAAACTTACCATTTTATTGTTTTACTGCTGCTTTTGTAAAATAATATTGTGCTATACTATTTTATCTATTCCATTTTTTAATATATATTTTTTCTGGAGCAAGGCACAAAATACTGTTGGGATCTGACCCTGCTCTCCTGGCTGGCTGAGACCTTCACACGTGTTTTTCAAATAAAGCAGCAGCCATGTTCCTTCCTTTCACCAAAACGCCTGACCTGGGGTCTGCAAGAAACCTCATGCCGGATGACCACACCCCCCAGCTCCAGCAGAAACCTGATGCTGGTCCCTCATTGGCCAAGAAAGGGCCCCCCACTGGTTGTGCCACCTGGTTTATAAGCCTGAGCACAGCTAGAATTCTTCCTCTTCCGTCCAGACACCGCTGGTGTAAGGAGATCCACAAGGCTCTCTTCACTCCGGACTCGTCCAGGGGACAAGAAGATCCACGAGGAACCGCGGCCTCATCAAATCCTATCAGGTCACATGTAACATTCGCTGGTCGAATAGACTGTGTTTTATTTTGAGTTTTGGATCCTGTAGTGCGAGAACGGATAACTCCTATGCCCCCGTTCTCCTCGCCGAAGATTTCCGGGAAGGACGACCCAAACCTCGTCCCTCAGCCGAAGTTAAAAAGCCCCTCTCTGCAGCGAGCCAGCCCCGAGGCCGCGCCACCGAGAGCCAGCGGCTACTCGAGGACCGAGTGATCCCCACCACGGGAAACGTACCCTACCGAACGAAGCTTCTACAAGTAAGAGTTACTGGTATCTGGGCCTAGCTTAGCTTAGCATTAGCTTAATTTAGCCTATTCGTTATGTCGTTATTCCTGCATCTTATTACGTTAAGTTACTGTCGTGTTATAACGGGTTATTGCGCCAGCATCGCGGACCACGGAGTCCCGTTATATTGTGTATTTCCTGCTGTAACTGTTCGCATTAGATCCGTCGCTGCTAGTGGATGTGGAGGTTGTGATTGTATCACTTAAAAGACCAAAACCACGGTGGCGGAGCCTCGTCTCGCCGACCGAGTTTCGGGGTGATAAGAGGGCAATACTCGCATCTCACCGCAGTGATAAAGATCTGTTTTGTTTTGGGGATTATTTTATTTTGTTTGGTTTTACTCTTCTTTAAATCGGCTCTGTGAGTGAGATTGAGAACCGCAACTATCACCGTACAAGCGTGACCGGTCGGTTCAGAATCCGACCGCAGAGTTTACAAGTGATCAGCTGTTCCTCACATTCTCATTGCAGCGCCGAGCATCTCTCTCTCTCTCTCTCTCTCTCTCTCTCTCTCTCTCTCTCTCTC